CCCCCACCACCGAAGAATTACCAAACGAATTACCAAAACTTCGTGTGTATATTTTGACGCTTTAAGCGTAGCGATATTTCTATGGCTGAGGCGTTAGTCTCAAAAGTGTCGATCAAGTCAACTTTCAACCACGGAAGTGATACTTTTAACTAATTGAATGAGAATGATCCAATCTTTTCCCGAATATTTTTAACTGTGTAGTGATCACGACGTCTTCAAAACCTATACTGTAAAGTGTAAACATAACAGGCACATTGTACAGTCAATCGAGTGTCAGTTACCTTAAAGTCTTCGCCTGTGAAGTGTTTTCTGAAAAAATATATTAGTATAACCATTTCCTAACAAACTTTAACAAAAACGGCTAATGTATGTACAATATTATGCTTTAATACAATGCGTTAAAGTTGCCCTTTCTTGACAACTTTAACGTGTGTATATTTTTGTGTATTGACTTAATAATAAGTGCGCTTATAAACAATTTTGCACAACATCGAAAGCTAAAAAATGGTCCTTCCTAAGTGTTAGTGTTTTGTTTTTTTCTGGCTCCAGGCCGTTGTAATGATAGTGCGTGTGAATGAGAGCCGTCAAACTTTTTTTTCATCAGGCAGCGCCACTGCAACTTCAATTATCTTTGGTACATATTGACTGCGTACCCAAAAAGCAACTCTCGAATTTATTTATTTTTTCAACTTGAAGTTGCGTCGTCTGATGAGCAGTGGCTCCCATTTCGTGTAGTGTGATAGTGTCTTGTGATTATCGAGTAAAAAGCTGCTTGTCCCATTATATAAAAAATCTTACCAGGGGGCGCTGTCGGCTTGGGTGGTTCGGGCGGGTCAGTGTTCGCTTTCCCAAACGAGGAGAATCCTAAACCCTCCACAGATGGTACGCTCAATCCGAACAATATCATCGGTATTATGATCGTTTGTAATCTACACCACATTTTGAGCACTAAAAAGACTACACTCTCAAGTTACGTTCTATAGCTTTGTTTATGGAACGTTTTCGAATTTGGATTGACAATGAAAAAAAATGTAGTGTCAGTGTTCGAAATTTGAATGATTTTTTTATGACGTGTACCATGAAATTGATATAGGTAGTAAAATTGTGTGTTATGTGTAAATATTTCTTTTTGTTTTTTAACGTACGTAATTCTAAATTTTGTTAATGATGTATGCAAATGAATGTCGCGGTCAGGTCATGTTATGTTTGTATCGATAATGAGTTATGAGGCTCTAGAATCAAATCGTCTTTTAATTTCCAATTAAACACGAATATCTACCGTAATATGTAGATATAATAATAGACATATCCTAGCGGAAGTAACCCTCGTTAATATATATCAAAACGATCTGACAAATTTACCCAATCACTTACAAATTGTCGGAACACTTAAATGTAATAATAAAAAGTAATTAATAATTATATACACTAAAATACTAAACAATGACATTTTTTTTAAATACTATCAGGAGCATATTTACAAGCATAGAATAAAAAGAAGTGAAGTGACGAATTGGAATCTAGTTTGCCTTTCTAATATATTGGTCTATGAAGAAAATTTTGAAAAAGTCCATCGCATCGAAACCTTACCCGGGCGTGGGGTAGGCGACGGCGAAGGGGGAGGGGCGTCCGTGTTAATCTTCCCAAAAACTGGGCTAAAGGCTCCAAAACTCTGATTCAAAGTCCCACATAGCACCAGAAGTGGCAGAAATATCAAATGAACATGCCTCATTTTTGTCCAATCTTTTAATTTTTTTTACAACAAACTGCAAGTTCTGAAATCGAATTAATCCTGATTATTCACTTTTTACAACACTTTTTCTGGAAATTTTGTATTAAAATTACAATTTTGCATGTTTATTGCTACAGTCTTGTTTTTTCGATAAACATTTTCGTTATATAATGGGACAAACACATTTCAACAAATTGTAACTCCTGAAAGTCTGAATTTTGAATAGAGTAATTTTTTTTTCAACGCTAGTGCCAATTTCGAAAGTGATTATTTTTTGTTAAAAATGTCAATCTAGTGAACGTGTCCTGTGTCAGAGTGGGTGTTCTGTGCGTTTCTAAAATCATTCTGTGTTAAGGAGATTTAATTCTTTGAATTTTATAGCGTATTCTACAAAATATTAGTGGATACTTTGTAGAATAAGTGAAAATTATTCAAAGATTCAAATGCTTTACGCTATTATGTGAGAATGTCCCATTATATTTTAAAAAAGTTTACCAGGTGGATAAGTTGGCGACGGCGCCGGTGGCTTTGTGTTCGAGACGCCAAAAGTGCTTAGGGCCTCAGACGAGTCTCGGGTAAGCCAGGCAAGCAGCAGGGGTATTATGGCCGCGGCCGCTTGCTTGCGACGCCACATCTCAAAAATCCGAAATTTGAACATTACTCGGTTACGTTCTATCTTCTTGTCTATGAGCTGGTTGAATTTAGAACGGCGATTCGATTCTTGAATCTACCTAATCGGATAGTTGCATTCGATAAAAAAAATCCCTACCTATATTAAATTAATAATACGTCTTTTTTTTATAATTTTGATGGCAATTCACCCTTTTTATTAAAAAAATTGAATTGATTCCAAAATGTTCCACCCTATATATAAAGAAATCAAAAACTGTGTAATAAATTATAGTAGATACTGCCGGAAGACAGCACGTAATCATCATTAATCATTTTCATGAAAAAAGATCTATTCATTGACGAATTGTAAAAGAATATAGTCGCCATCCGATTAAGTAGCTACGCGTTATACGAAATTACTCAATTACAATTTCTTGTTCAATTTTATTCACTTTAACATATATTTTTATATAAGATATCTCTAGCAGAACTGAATTTTTATTTATTTCTTTACAAACAGATCGTTCTTTCAATAAACTGCATAATAGCAGTCCACGTTCCTGGACTTAGACAAGAGAATAGTAATTTCAATCCAACGACACACCGCGATCAGGCTCATTATAAATTCAAAAACTAAGGATCTGAAATTGCTGGCAGCGTTCCTTCTTTGTATGGCTAATTTGTTGGATTTTGATTATAAAGTTCAAATTTTGAAGTAAAAATTCAATCCTTGCATGAAGCTCAAAAAGATCTGATGACGTTGTGTTTAAATTTATTTTTATACAAAAGTTGATCTGACCGGCGGCCATCTGAAACATACTTGCCGACGGCGCATAATATTTTATATTCCATTATATTCTTAATAATCCACGCACTGGCTAGTTCAATAACGTTTGATGCGCATTTATAAAAAAATACTTTCTTCTAAGAAATGAAATTGTAATAGAGTGAAATGTAAACGCTATGAGTTGGTAAATGTCGCGAATGAAAATGAGAATGTAAAATGATATTGACATTGAAGAATAGACGTTATAAACAACAAGTCAAGGCTTATGATATCTATTGAAAATGTATCACAATAACAATACCGCCCACTTTGAGTTATTGTCAAAACGTTGCAAATTACATTTGTTCTTTTTTTAACAGCATACGTATTTTAAAAAACTGGTCTTCATATTTCAAGATTACGCACACACTCAACAACGATTATTATATATTGGACCTCCGTGATAAATGTTATGAGCCACCAAAATGCTAAATCATTTTCTGGCTACGGAAATTATAACAGACGTCCTGCTGAACAAGGAAATGAAAAAGAAACATTATAAAAATTATGCCACGGAAATTAGAACTTCGACCTTCGCTATCGGTTAGCCCATTTGTGGGTTCCCGACTACAACTTGCGAATTAAGAAAAGGCCTTCTGACTTGCTGCTTACAAAATACAGTGAAGAAATCGTTTAATAATGCATTGACACCTAAGTACATTAGAATAACGGCGTTTTGAAAACACAATTTCTATGCATAACGATGACATGAAAATCTGTGTGCGTATATTAAATTTCCGGTTTCTTTTTCGATAACGACAACTGCGAAGTCTTTCTTCGTTTTCGTTTTAATAAAGTAGAATCTGTATTTGAAATATTGTTTGAGCATAGACATTATGATTATTTTTTACAACGTAAAATAATGAATAGTTGTTAAAAACTTTTCATTTGTTCCATTTTTAAATTTTTTTCTTAAGTGTTTTGTCGAAGATTGTAAAGAACAATATTTTCCGACCCCAAACTAGAATTACTCCGTATTTTTTCGTAGATTTTCAATTTTTTTCGAAGATTTTCTTTGGCGAAATTGTGCTTTCAGTTTTATAAAATACTTAAAAGTAATATTTACTAACATCTACAAAAGAAATTAAAAGATGTGCTTTGAAGCCGCTGTGAGCGTTGTACATAAATTGATATACAAAATCAAAAATAAAAGTAAAAAAGTAAAAAAAAAACAGTAAAAAAAGTAAAATTGAATACATAGGTACATATTTAATTATAGTTAGTTAAATATAGATCCCCAATACAATAAAGCGGCAGGGTATAAAACTAACATGTAAGGGGCCTTTAAAAATCCATACCGAATACTATTGTATTCGGTATGGATTTTTTTTTTCTATCTGCGCAATAAAAAATAATAAGAAAATCATATATAATACACGTTCTTTAAAAGTGTGCGTCATCATATACAGCCTGACTTCACCCACTGCTGGGTATAGGCCTCCAAGAAACTGCTATCAATGATTAAAAAATAATAATTTAAGTTTGTAATTAAACGAATCTGTAATTTAAGAATTGAAACTAAATATTATGTCTTCGGATCCGAAAAAATTGTTTCATGTCCAAAGAATTTACATGTAAAAAGAATTTCTGAAATTGAATTTGTAAATGGAGTTTCATTTTTTAATACGTTCCACAAGAAATAGGCTAAGGTCTAAATAAACCTAAAACCTAAGAAATTCGTTAAAAAATAATTATACTTCATTACGTAATACTTTGAACCCGTTTTAACCTAAAATAACCTTGTCATTTAGACAATATAGGTATTGAAAAGCACAAAGAAACGAAACCTTGAATATTTTACATTGATTTCTAAAGCGATTTAGGTCATTTAGTAACACAAACCCGTGTCAATATTTCTAGTTACAAATCGTTACTAAACAGAAAAAAAATGCCATCAGTCTTACTTCACATATAGATAAATTAAATAATTACACAAGCTCATACACCTTCCATTCAAAGCCAATAAAATAACACACAAATAGGCAGTGCAGACAGCGGTGCAATATGCTTTAGTTAATTTTTTTTAAATTCGAATTATAAATTTCGTTTTTTTTTAGAAAAAGACCAGAGACAAACTTTTTAATGGTTTTTTAGATGTTTCTTTTTAAATGATACTTTTTAACACAGCTTGCCAGTGTCTTCAAGTAGAATGTTTTAGTTACAGTTTCTGCTGGCGTGGGGCGACCGTGGAGGAACGCGATGTACTAAACTACTAAACCTCCTTAGAAGGTTCGTGTTTGGCAAAGCAAGGTTGCACGCTTTCTTGGTTACACGGAGTGTTTGGAAAATTCACTTTTCTTTTTTAACCAACTTTAAAAAGGAGGAGGTTCTCAATTCGATTGCAATTTTTTACGTGTCCGTTGTACGTTTCAAAATATCACAAGAATCATCACCCCTCATGAAAGAATGGCATAAGTGGAGTTACGTCAAAAATGTTTATTGCTCAATTAGATAAAGAAAAATATAACCCAACAAGAATTGGAGAGTATGTGGGTTATATTTTTCTGTATCTAATAGAGTAATAAACATTTATGACGTAACTCTACTTATGCCATTCTTCCATGATGAGTGTTATCTTCATATCTAGGCGTACAAGCGATATTCGTGTATTCTCGGATTGGAATCGGACTTGATGGTTCTTTTTTGGATGATTCTTTTTTAGAGCTTTTAGTTTTTTAAGAGCGTACCTTAATATTGGTCCCATTTTTTATTTGAAGGAAATATTCCACTTCTACGGCTGGCAAACTAGGATGCATCCGGTTTCGCGCACTTTCCAGTCACCAATTTTGCAATTGCAATCAGGTTTAATCAAAGTTTTCGTACCTAATAAATAATTCAAATACATTTTTAACTTATTTATATTCTTTTTTAAATTTTATCACCGAAGTATATTAAAATGCAAGTTGTTGGCTAAACAGCTACACCCTATAAATACACATTAAATTAGGGGTTGCCCCCCACCACCCGTGTACGGCTAACCGTAACGGGGTAAAAAGGCAAATCCCACACCCTTTGTTTCGTAATTATAATTTTACTATTAAATACACGAAAGTCTATGATATCGTAAAGATGATTTTAATATTTAAAAGTAAAAGTCAGTGTTTTTTTTTTAAATTAATTTCTAATAAGATTTAGGACAACATTTTCTATCACAGATAGAAGTTTCTTATTTATAAGTGTCAATTCTTCTTTCTTCTTCTTTAACCATTCTCAACTTCTAAGGTGTAGGCCTCCTTCAGTTCATGCATGTCCATTTTTCAACCTATTTCTCCCGCCAAGCAGTAATGTCAGCATTGCGGCGTTCCGGTTTTGAAGGGTAAGGGTGCTGCTTACATGGGACTTGTCAACTTATGTCTCAGGGTGACGGGCGCAGTGGCAACGCCCCTCAAATCTTTGTGATTTAAAACTCTGAGTGGCACTGCAACTGTTATGGACAGGCGTATAGCTTACCATCAGGCGCACGACTTGTTCGTCCCGTCACTTAATATTATAAAAAAAAAGTTTCTAACCACTTTGTTCCCGCCAGTGCTCTGATATCGTCGTACTAACGCATCTGTGGTCTTCCTCTTCGACGTTTCTCGCCCCAAGGTCTCCTTTCTACCACTGTCTTGCACCAAGTGCCTTTCTTGCGGGGGACTTATTATCGCAATTCGTTTAGTAATATCGCTCACTTTGCTCTCTGACCCATTTGTTTCAAAACTTCTACCAGATGTCTTTCTATTGCTCTTGGCGCCATCTGAAGTTTGTGCAGGATCTCCTTAATACAAACCCAGGTGTCAGCTCCATATGTAAGCACCGGCAAAATACACTGGTCGAGAATGCAAACTTTTTGTTCGGCATTGATTTTCATGTTGAACGCGATTTCGAGTTTGGAGTAGATTGTAATCGGCGTGCTTTCAGTTCAGCTCGATAAGGCGCTCCGGTCGTACGCACGCGCAGGCTTTCGTAATGTGTATATGTAGTAAAAATGGCGACGCTAGAAATTGACATTTCTAAGAAAAAACTTACTGATTTTATATTCGAAGATGTTTTGTAAAAGTCAAAGTAAAACATTAATTAGACATTTTCTGGCGTCGCCATTTTCACTACACAACAATACGGAAGCGTGCGCGTGCTTAAAATCAGAGCGTCTGAGAGATCTGATAAAAATTTGATTACTATAGAAAATACGTTATTTTTCCTTTGAAAACAGTATTTGTGTAATGGTTTTTGTAAAAACAAACTCCGTTATACAAATTCGTTCCATAGTTGCGCTCGCACCGCCGCCGTCTAAGTTGGAGTAAGCGGCCCACGCCAGTCTCATGCGATTGTCAATTACGTCTGATTGTCCCTTCCCAATACAAGATACACATACTTATCTACTTTTTCGATGATGTTTGCGGTACTATTTTCTATTATGATGTTGGTCATGTTCTTGAATTTGTCGATGTTCATTTCTAAGCCACACTGTTCGGGTGCTTGGTTGAGTTTCTGTACCATAGTTTGAAGGTCGCTCGGTTTGTTCGAGAACAATACAATGTCATCAGCAAATCGTAGGTCACTCAGTCTCTTTTACTCTTTATATTAATATCACGCTCTTTCGAATTCAACTTCTTGAAAGTGTCAATTACAGGGTGTTTATTATTGGTGAGTGTCGCTTACTGGTTAATTAATTAGTGGATTTTTGGTGTTCATTCAGAGATATTCTAGTTAAAATCTTTTTTAGTAATAATTATAATAAAAATATTAATGAATGGATATTCAATTATTCTTTATGAAATTACTCCACTAGTTCGTTAGAATTATTTATAGAAAGATCGAATCGAAGACTTAGAAAAAACTCCTTTGATCCGGCCGGATTCGACCCGACATCTTCTTGCAAACCGTGTCAAATGCTATAATAATAATTAACACATATAATAATTAACATATTAATTTAACTAAATTTAAAAAATAATTATAATAATTCAATGATAATTTAATTACAGATAATAGCGACATCTCTCGCCAGGGCTGGTAGCTGTAAAGTTACCTAAATGAGTGACGAAATACATTAATTTCTTAAATTCCGCTACGGCTAAAAAGTCGTTGAAAACCAAATACAAAGATTCGACAAACAGGCACATGGAAAAAATAGTGAAGTCCGCTGGTTCGTTCCGTGGCTTAGTTGGCATAGCGTCTATCACGGTTTGCTACCAGACGTCGGTTCGAATAAGATTGGATCGAAGGAGATTTTTCTAAGTGTTCTGTTAAGATCTTTGTGTAAAAAATTATTATAGTAGTTTTTCTACTCTTGTAGATTAATCTGTCAAAGGTTTTCCTTTTGCTTCTTTCCTTGGATTTTCCCCTGCAATATTAGTTGAAAAATCCGGTATTTACTGCCCACATTACGTGACCAATATACTGCAGCTTCCTTTCATTTACAGTTTTGAGTATTTTCAATTTTTTTCCCTTTCTTTACCCACGATATGCTAAGCATACGTCGATACAACCACAATTCAAAGGACTCCAGTTTTGAGCATAATGCTGGGGTCAGAGTCCAACATGCAAAACTCTCAAACAGAAAGAGGCTATTGTTTCACATATTGGTACAACGGGAAATAGAACCTAAACCGTCACATTTATTCCCTTACTTAACAACTTAGTCATCCACATCAAATAAATTATGTGTAATTTTTCCCCTAGTCACTTCATTTATGATTTTCGTGGCATATTTTTAATAAACCATAGAGGGCATAGAGTGACAGGGTATCCGTCATTTTGTTTGCACAGTAAACATACCACGATTATCGACAGATTGCTTTTGTAATATCTGAAACCTCAAAGTTAGTTGTACGTGAGGCGCACTATAAGTTTCCGGAATGAATAAGAAAAAAATACTATATATGGTCAGAAATGAATTTATTGTTTCTCAAAATATTCTCCGTTAGCGAGAAAATATAATAGTTAATGAGAAAAAAACAAATTGTGTGAAATTTACATTACCCAATGTTAGAGAGACGGTTACAAACATTGTAGTTGGAAACGAAAAATTGAATCTTGTGGATACAGTTGTATTTCTAGGTATAACGTTAGATGCTAAATTGCAATGGGGTCCCCATATAAGTAAGTTATCAAAACGGCTCGGCTCTGCAGTGTACGCGATTAAAAAAATAAGGAAACTTCCAGACGTCGAAACCGCTAGATTGGTTTACTTCAGCTACTTTCACAGTCTAATGACATACGGCATTTTGCTTTGGGGTAATGCCGCCGATATCAACAGAATCTTTGTCCTGCAGAAACGTGCAGTTAGGGCAATTTACAATCTGGGCCCCAAAGTATCTTTGAGAGATAAGTTTAAGGAAATTAACATTTTTACACTAGCCTCACAGTACATTTATGAGAATGTAATTTATGTTAAAAGGAATAGTAATTTATTTATGAAAAATAGTGACAGACATAACATTAATACGAGGAATAGAAATAAACTAGCTTTTCTTGATAGTCGTCTTCACAAAGTCAAAAAATCATTTAAGGGGCAATGTATACGCTTCTATAACAAGATTCCGGTTGATATACAAAATTTGCCTTACACGAGGTTTAAAACTATAGTGAAACAAAAACTTTATACTAAAGGTTATTATACAACTTCTGCGTACTTGGATGACAAAAATCCGTGGTAGTAACCCGTTTAGCTCATGGAGGTAGTCTCGATCTCTGATGTTTCAAATAATAATAAAAAAATATTGTAAATGTTATTTACAAAGAGCAACCCCTAGAGTTTCTTGCTCATTCTTCTCAGGGGAATCTGCCTTACGAATGAGCGGTAGAGTTTAATATTGTGACGATTTCAAGTGTAATAATGCTTACCTATGAAATAAAGATTATTTTGAATTTGAATTTGAATTTGAATTTGTTGTTCACAGCAGTGGACGGGCGACCATCACGAAATTCGTCACTGAGATTCACACGACCGCGTTTTAATTCTGCAAACCAGCTGTAAATAGTCGTCTTGCATGGTGCTTCATCGCCAAAAGCAGTTTGAAGCCGAGCGAAGCTCCGCTGAGCTGTAAAATTACACTTAAAAAAAATAGAAAATCATTCTATGAAAATTTTCACTAGTTAAATCCTTGGTGATGTAGACAACCAAATTCTAAAATGACGCCGCAATGTAAAAACAAGTGACAGTCAGGTGAAACAAACTGTATTCTAATAAAGGCCAAGTTTTTTTCTTT